CCTGCTGCACTGCTTTTGACTTATTAAAGCAGCAAAGGATGCCTGATGGGAGAAAAGTAATACCTCAGACCTACGGCTTCATGAATGCAGACATAACCCCTTCCCTCTCCTCCCAGGTACAGCTGCTGGAATCTGGATAAACACAGCGGAGCTGTTGTGGCTGTTGGTGTTGGCTGTGCTACGCCATGAGCCTGCCAGGCCTTTTAACAGGGATATGCTTGCAAATGAGAGCAAGAGCCTGGGGGACAGCAGGGCTGGGATGGGGGTTGATTCATAACAGCCCTTCTGCTCACTGCATCCATGTATGTTAGAGTTACAACCAAAAAAACAGAGGAATTAAACGGCTTAATGCTCCTGTGCCAGCACTGAGTAACTGCCACGGCAGTAGACACAAGCAGTTAGACGTAGCAGATATACACTTCCAATCGAGACTGTTAAGCATATTGCAACCAAATTTTAATGTCACGTCTTCTGCTCGTTGGAGTTCTCAAATCTGTTCTTTCAGCTACTGAAATTAAAAGGCTGCTTTATATTCTGCAGGCTTAGAGGTGACTTTTCCCCCCACGATTATTGAGTTTGAAGCTGAGAGGGCTGGCTCGCTGCGAGGTTCAGTGATGGAGCTGTTGGGATGTGTGTATTTTATTACTACTTTTTTAATTCCTGAGCTGTTCCTTCTCATCTGGCAGCAAGCTGCCAGCAAGTGAGTCAATATTATCCAACTCCTGCCTGATGGCTTAGATGAAACGGTTGGATCACCTCAAGCAAAGCCCTGTCAGCAAGCGGCTACATCACAGAAACCCACCTCAACCTTGGCTCTGTGGATCCATCCCAGCTGCGGGGCAAAGGATGAAGCACAGGGACACAGCCCAGCTTCCCAGAGGGACCACGGGCTAAGCTGGAGGTGGTGGGGAGGGCTGGGCTGTGCTGGGTTGGGTTCTCTCAACCCTGTTCTTCCACCTTGTGTGGAAAGCCTATAAACACAACATGGGAATGGAGCGTGATTTATAACCCCCACGGCCCCAAAGGCACCATGGACCAGATGTTTCAAAGCTGGCTGCTGGTTCCACCACTGATAAAGCAATAATGCACTTTGGGCTCAGTTTTGCCTCCAAAATGAGGCTGGTTTATTAATTAATAACACCCAGGTCCTGGGGGGCACCTGCTGGGGTGATCCCTCAGCAACCCAACATGGATTAGCAAAGCTGCAGGCACAAAGATGCCCAAGCGAGGCCGAGCTGCAGCAGGGCCATGTACACAAAACAATGCCATGATTCATCCGAGATTGCCATAACCCATCGAGTTTCATCAGGATGCTGTGGCATTTAAAATGGCATTTCCTCCCATCTGCTGCGCATTAGCAGACAAAGAAAAAGGAGGAGGGGGAGAGAACAGCAAAACAAAGGGGGGGGGGGAGAAAGAAAAAAGCCGGGATTCCTGAGTCAGACTGTTCCCAAAGCAGCTCCTTGTCCTTGTAAAGCCCCAGCCCACCCCAACGGGCTGAGGGCACTGAAACTGGCGCTGCACAGTTCTGCCCCCAGCGCTGCCCAGGGCCTGGCTGCAGCCCAGGACCTGCTCCCCAGGCTGTGGTGAGTGGTGCTGCTGTCAGAGTGACCCAAAGCCCTGCAGAGCAGCACCCGGCGGCCCTCCCTCTGCACCCCGAGCTGCCAAGCAGGGGCTACAGTGAACAACCCCCCCAGCTAATCCCTGTGCTGGCTTGATCTTTCCTTGGTCATTTCTTCTTCTCCATCCTCCTTAGATTTCTCTTCTGTTCCATTCCATTCTGTTCCCTTTCCCTTCAAAATGAGAACTCCTTCCTCTGTCCTTATGTCTCCTTTCAGTGCTCCCCCTCTTCTCTCTCTGTGCTGTGCTCCCACCTCCAGTCCTCACCATCCCTTAACACCCTCCATCTCCATCTATCTCTTGCACTCCCCCTGCCCTGACCCATCCCCATCTCCTGCGATACTCTCGTCTCCGTCCCCAAGGGTGTTTTTCAAGAGGGAGAGTGCAGGGGACTTGAGCAAGGAAATTCATCTCAGCCTCTGAACTGGGCCAGGAAGATTATCCTCCTAAACATGGATTGCACATTGAGCCAACAATCTGACTCATGAGACTTATCAGAGTTACTGCTGGAGGCAACAAGGGTCCTGTCCCTGACCACCCATCCCACCCCTCGGCTGTGGAGCCAAGGCAGAGGGAGCAGCATCCCTGTGGCTCTGCCTGATATCAGCAGCCATGAAAACTTACGGAGGGACAAATGCATTCAAGTGAAGCCTGCAGAGCAGCAACACATCCCTGCAGGCCCAGGGGTCCAGCAGATGTGCCTGGAGGCTGTCAGCTCCCACTGGAGGCAGGACAGCGCTCTCCAGCCTGCAAGCACGCTCCCTGACCCCGGGCTTGGCCCGGACACAAGCACTCATTCAGAACGGAATAGGTGTGGACGAGGCTGACCCCAAGCCATAACCAAGGAACATGTGAAAGCGGCAGCGAGCAAAGCTCTCAGCTTGTAGAGCTGAGGGCAGGGATGGGGCTGTGTGGTTCTGAGCAGACAGAGCTCAGCTGGCTCCTCAATTACAGCTGCTTTATCCCCTGTCTGGATCTGAAACAGCTTCCTGCAATCCCTCCGTGACTCAGTGTCTTGGCATGGAGAAGGCATACCCGAGAGGCTAGCTTCTGAAACCCACCGGGGACGTTCCACCTTCCTAAAATAAAGAGTGGGCAAAACAGTTTCGACCTCCCTCCAAAAAACGCACACACACACAAATCCCTCCTTAGTGCATGCATGTTGCTGGGTCTCAGCTGGGGTAGGTTTTCCTATTTATAATCCTGCAGCTGTTTGCGGACTGAATAGCTCTATTTATTATTTGGCATGTTTACCAACCGCCTCAAATACCTTCGCTACCTGTAATTGTGGTGCAGCGTACATACTATTTGTGTTCAGATTTCTTCATTCAAGTGGGTTGCGTTACTCCCAGGCCCCACGCTGCGGTTTGCTGAGGGTATTCATGGTTCCAGGGGACGAGGCTTTGGACTCAAGTGACCCTAAACTGTAGTGGACCTGTGAAGAGATACCTGGGGGGGAAATGGAGTCAAGTTTTCAAGACATTTGTCCATGATGCTCAGGGCTTTGAGATATTCAATTTGGTTTTCATAAGAGCAGTTCTCCTGAATGCGTCTTCTCCCATCTATGCTCATCCAAGTTTTTCCCTTCCATATTTTACTGAAACTGGTCAAAACCAAACCATTTATGCTTTCTAGTGCACATGAGTTCTGAGCCAACGGAGAGGAGAGGCCTTGAAATGCAGCAGAGCAGGGGCTTGTTGGTATTCTAATGTCCGGGGAACTAATGCACCCCATTTCCCCAGGCACCCTGCAGAGCATCTTCCCTTGGCACAGAGAATGGAGAGCCCTGGAAAAGCTGTCCTGGCAAAACACTTCCAACCCGGGCCCAGGGCACCGCTACCATGGACTTTGCTCCCCTCTCCTGTAAAGTGAGCTGAGGGATCTGCCTGTGTTGTCCTACCCTGAGAGCTGTCGGGATGTTCTCACCCTCCTTCGTCACCCTGCTGGCATCTCGACGGCTTGCTGCTCTGGTGACCTGCCACCCTCCAGCCTTCCTCCCACCCACCCTCCATTCAGACCAAGAGAAACAGCACTGCTGCACTTCTCTGCACCACACAGGGATCCTTTAACTGTGTGACATTTGTCTGGAGAGCTCCATTGCTCAGGAAGGACCCTCTGCTTCTTTTTAGCTGAGGTCTGGGCAGCACCTCCTGTAATCACAAGGATCCTGGTGGCAAAAGGCGGAGACAGGAACTGGGTTTTAATAAAGCAAACCGAGGGGTTCCCGGAGGTATAAAACCATTCCAAACTGCACCAAAGTACATCTAAATCTGTCCATCCCCATGTCTGCAGCAGGCTGCGCCCTTTGTGGACCAAGGAGGCTGAATCTCCACCCAATCTCACTATCAGAGGCCAGCTTCTGCAAGAGGCACCCACCCTTCACTGCTCTGTCCCAGGCTGCTTTACCTGGCTCTTCCCCTTGGGTTAGGAGATCCAGGTCTCCAAACCAGGCCTTGCACCTTGGGTCGTCTCAGAGCATCAGCAGTCACCCTGGGACACAGCCCCAGGCCAGCCACCCTGCTGTGGCGTGTGCTGGAGCCGCATGAACACCGAGCATCAATGAGTGCTTGTGCCAGCCCCAGCCAGGGATGTGATTCATTTCACAGGAGCTGTAAAGCTGCCACCCGGGCAGTGGCTCTGCAGCTCTGGGTGATGCCGGTCTCAAAGGCACAAGAGCCAGCTGGAGCCGGGCCAGGTTTATATTTAATCTTGCCTATAAATACAAATAAAGGGCCTGTATCTCAGCGAGCGATGGGCGCACCATGGACATTATTGAACCTCCCAAAAATAAACCCCTGCTGAAGCGCAGGGACCCAGGCTGCTCCTGGAGAGTGTCAGTGTGGAGCAGGGTGATGATGGGGCAGCTGCTTTCCAGTAGCTGCTCTGCATCAGCAGCTCCTTGTCCCTCTCTTTAACTTGCTTGGTTTAGCCCCAAAATTGCCCAAGCACCTCAATTTCCTACAGCACTACATCAGCCTTGAGAGAGCATCATAGGAGCAAAGCCTCTGCCTTCAGAGCAGGAAAACTGGGTGGATGTCATAGACCCACGAATCACAGCCTGGGTTGGGTCGGAAAGGACCTTAAAGCCCACCGAGTTGAACCCCTGCCATGGGCAGGGATGCCTTCCCCTAGAGCAGGGTGCTCCAAGCCCCTGTGTCCAACCCGGCCTTGAACCCTGCCAGGGATGGGGCTGAAGTAACCACAGCCCTCCCCACCCCGTTGTTAGCGGCCTGCCCCCCGTTACCCCTGCCTCAGCCCCCACTGCCCACGGCGGATGCAGCGATGGAGCCCCCATGTGCGCCCCTGTCCCCATCCTCCCCACCCCGCACTACAACTCCCATCGGGCAGCGCGGCGGAAGCGGCTGTGACGTAGCGGGCGCGCAGCACGCGGGCCCCGCAGGCCGCGCCATGGCGGCAGACAGGCGTGGGGCTCTGGAGCTGCTCGCCCTCATCCACCAGCACCTGCTCCGCGGGGGGTTCGCCCGGGCGGCCCGAGAGCTGCAGGCGCAGACCGGGCAGGTAACCGGCACCGGGGCACCCGCACTGGGGGCAACCGGCCCCGGGGGTGAGGCGGGTAACGGCCTTCGGAGGGTCTGGGCCCCGCTTGCTCCCTCGCCAGGCCCCGGCCCGCTTTGCTCCCTCACAACGGAGGCCCGGCGCGCCCTGCGCCCTCCGCTTCCCGCTGCTCCACGCTGGACCCACGTGTTGTCCTGGCCGGGGAGAAGGAGTGGGGCCGGCAGCCCGCCGGGTAAAGCCGTCCCGAGCACGTGTTGAGCAGGGGAGGTTCCGCCGCTGCCGCTCAGGGAGGCGGCTCCCGGAGCGGAGGGCCGGGCCGCTGGTGGGGAGCGGGGTGTTACTGGGGGGATGTGTGCGGGGAGGACACGGTTCCGTTATCCCGGGGATGCTGGAGGGGCCGCTGCTGTCTGGTGTCGTCCTGACCTGGGGCTGGTGCCTGACTCGTGTTCCCTGTGCTTTCACAGAAGCTGCTCCCTTCCCTCTCGGCCTCTCTCGAGGACATCTTTACCCACTGGGAAAAGTAAGTCAAAGGGGGGAGTGCCTATGGAATAAATTCCAGCCTGTGTTAACATCCAGACTGCATGGCACGTGTGAGCTTTATCTGCTAGAATTTCCTGTGTCAGAGTATTTCTGATGATAACTGTTCAGCAGTCTGAGCTCGGGGATAAGTTGTTACACTCTAGTTTTGAGCAGCTGATGCTGTTCTTGCTGGCTGACGTTAATACTGGAGTATTGTGGTTCTCAGAATCATGCTTTACTGGCAGAAATCTTTCCTCCAGTTCTGATTCACTTTTGTTTTAAAGCCACATGATTTGCAGGAGCGTTGACCCAAGAGCAGGGAATTAGAGCAGATGCTGAAATGCCAAAGTTCTTACAGGATCTTAAACCTTGGCACAGATGATGTATCTGCTGGCTCAGCCCAGCACTTTCCTGTGTAGTTATTCCAGTGAGTACCCCATGTGAAGGTCTGCAGCACCTCCCCTGTGGGATGCAGTGATGTTTGCACCCACCCTCTGCACCGCTGGCTTTGGTCTGACACTGGTGGCAGCAACAGAGCTGGGTTGTCTGGAGCTGGCTTCTGTGCCTGTACTAATGAGCGCTGGAGTGAAGATGCTCCTCAGAGATGTCAGCAGCCTCAGGAAGCGGGTCTTTGCTCCAAAGATGTCTTTTGCTAGAACACCTTGTGCCTTGGTGCAGGATGTGGCAGTGTAGAAACAGGCTTGCAGTTCCTCCCTCTAACAAGTGCCTTGGGGCACTGCTGTTTGCCTTCATGCAGTATCCCTGAGCTCCTGGTCACCCACAACAGATTCTCACAGTAGTCCCTGTTGTGTTATCAGCTGCTGCTGAATCGGGAAGGGTTTGTAGGGTCAGAGCTGCCTGCATGGCTTGCCCTGTTCTTTTAAATTGTTAAGAGTAGTGAACAGGACTTTGTAAATGTGCCCTTGGCTTTGCCTGCTTGAAAAAACCTTGCTGTTACAGCGCTGCTACTGAAACACTCTAATAAGCACAGTCTTTACTGGCCAAACTGTTAAACTAACTTTGTTTCTAAATCAGATGAACAAATAGAATAAGGCTTTTACAGCCTTCAGACTCGCTTCTCCTGGCCTTGTGTCATACCAAGACCTGTTTGGCGCTCATTGTCCTAACCTTGGGGTTGCGCTTACTGTCTGGCTGTAGCTGCCTCCTGGAGTAGGAATTTGTCCTGTAGGATGCTTTTGTTCTGTTGTGAGAACCAGCCTGACCATACACATTTTTACTTCTCTGATGAAGTGTGAAACACTCTGCTTAGGACACAGGAGAAAACATGTACAGTATCTCTTCTGAGTATTGCAGGGGATATGTTGCTCTCAAGAGTTGCCTGGGGAAGACTGGAGTTGTTCCTTGCAGATTAGAGAAGTATTTCTCCCACCCCTTTTAGGAGCTGTAGAGGAATGGCACTGATTGTCCTTAGGCTGGAGCCTGACCTGAGAGTAGGTGAATAATTGTATTTTATTCTTTTTAAGACACTTTTTTCCCCCATTCTGATGCAAATTCTGTTCCTTCAGAACTCCCTCAAATACCAGGAGAAGAAAGGTGAGTGATGATGAAGAAGCCATCCCAGGAAAGATCAGAGTTCCTGATCCCGTGAGCAGCTCTGAGAGCTCAGACAAAGAAGAGGATGAGAAAGAGAAGGCAAAAGCTGCAAATGGTAGGAGCGTTTCACCTCCCTGGAACTGACAGAGTGGGATCAGAGGCTTGGACAGAGAAAATGCTTATAAAGTGATGGCTATTCCCTTGTGTTTAACTAGTTTAGCACTTCCTTCTCATGTGGAATTTCTGGGAGCACAGATGTCTGCTGGAGCTAGGAGAAATCTGTTGCAATTCACTGGGGAGAGATGGGTGTTGTTGCTTGGATGAAGCATTGGGAACCTAATGCTGCCCACTGTGGGGTACCTTCTAGTTGGTCTCTGGTGTTTGTGGGCCAGGAAAGGCAGGCCTGACTGACAGATAAAGGAAGAATTTATTAGTTGGAAAGCCTCTGTCTTGAGGTTGTACTAGATCCCTGGTGTAGCTGATGTGGCTCATGTTGTGTAACAAAACCCCATGTATCTGATGTTTTGGCTCGGTCTCATCTGCTGTAGACCAGTCCTTGGGAGCATTCAGATCTGGGCAGGTTCCTTGTCTTGGTGGTGGGAAGGATGGGGTGGAGGAGAGAAACACTTGCCTGTTGCAAGGACGGTGTTGGGGCAGGTGTAGGGATGGGACCCTGCCCTCCCTGCAAACCAGAGGCCGTCCTGATGCAAGAGGTGCACTCACAGGATGTCTCTGTGGCTTTCTGCCATTCAGCAGTCGGCCTTCCCCTGGCCAGCAACTCGGCAGTGAATGTAGAAAGCAGTGAAGAGGATGACTCCTCATCAGAAGAGGAGACACCAGCTGGAAAAGGTGCAGTTGCGGTAAGGCAATTCTCTTGGCTTTGAAGGCTGATAGTACTCTGTGGTCAGGACTATCCCAGGCTCATTAGGATGTGTAGAACTGGTGGCTGGAATTCATATTTAAATGCCCCTCCTATGCTGGCATAAGCCTTCTATTAGATCTGTCCCACAGGTGCTTCCCTAAAGAGCTCTATGGCTTGCCTGGCTGCCAGGCTGTTCTTTAAGATACGTTACATCTAGCTTAGCCCCTCATCTGTTTACAGGCTTCTAATTTCTTTTGTTTCTTGTAGGTGCCACCAGGTGTGGTGAGTGGCAAAGCTGCCACCAACTCCTTGCACTCTCCGAGCACGCCCACTGCCCCGGCAGGCAGAGCAGCCATGCCCTCTGCTGCAAACAGAACTGTGGTCTCAAACAAGCAGCTGCCCAATGCGCCAGCTGCATCTCCAGCCAAAGCTGGGCAGAAACTGCTTGGTCCTGGGAAGCCTGGACATGCCACAACAGCCACGACCACAGTAGGTCAAAGCAAAGCACTGGTATCGACCAAAGCACCAGAAAGCTCCAGCAGTAGCTCGTCGTCAGAGAGCGATGAGGAAGAAGAGACACCGGCTGCAAAGGGCCCAGCTCCCAGAGTGGGTAAGGAGCCAGCGGAGTGTGGTAGATGCATGTGTGCTCCAGCTCCACCATGGAATCGGGTCTGAGCTGTGCTTTCAGCTTGTGCCTTTCAGCTCCCGTGCTGGAAAGCTCAGAGCAATGCTTGCTCCTAGGGGAGGCTGTGAGAATACTGCAGAAGAGCCAGCTCCGGAGCTCTGTGGGATGAAGCCAGCATGCCTGCTCCCATTTCAAGCAGCAGATTCTGTGCTGAGATGTCTGTCTGGCAGCACCCAGCACTATGGGGTTGGAGATAAAAGCATAGCATATCTGGAGGAGATGCAGTACTAACACTGCAGATGCTTCGAGCTTTTTGGAAGGGCACTGCAGCATCTTCTCTTTATATTCCCACTTGTAAAGTGATTGCTTTTCGGTTTTGAGGTCTTTAGGGAAATCTTACTGCTTTGAAGTGTGTGTGTGTGTTGGGAGAAGCTCTGAAAATGGTCCTTATCCTGGCTCTTTTCCAGAGGAGCTCCAGCCATGCTAGGTACCTCTGGAGGGAGCTGTGTGTGGCTAGGCAGCTCCTGTAGGGTCAGAGGGTGGCCAGGAAGGATTTCCCATCTTTGCCTGCACTGAGGGGAGGCGTTTGTGGCCCAGTGTTTGTTTGGAGAAGTTGTTCCCAGCAGGCCGCTGATGCTTTCAGCAGGGCTAGGCCCTCTTCCCTGCAAATCCCCTTAGTTCTCTCTGTGTCATGTTTTGTTGTCCTGACTTCAAAAGCCACATTAGCATCACGCTAATGGGGGAGCTCAGAGCAGGCAGCAGCTGTGACATCTCCTTGCTTGTGTTTCAGAGGCAAAGCAGGCAGCTGGGGCTGCTGAGAGCAGCAGTGAGGAATCAAGTGATGAGACATCCTCCGAGGAGGAGCTTGCAACTCCAGTGGTCCAGGTAACCTCTGCAGGCCAGGTTCCTTGTCTCCAGGAAATCACTTGCTTCCCTTCAAGTAGAGAGGAAATGCTGCAATGCTGTATTCTGACAACACCCCGTTCCCTGGGTGTGTGAGATCTCCAAAGCCAAAGAAACATGCTGTGTGGCTGAGAGTCCCACTAACCCCTGCCAGCACCAACCATTCTATCGCCGTTCCTCTTAGTGCCTGAAGTTGAGGGTGATTGTTTGGTCTGTAGGAGGTGATTGGTGTGCAGGTCCACAGATACAGTCAGGCAATCCATGGAGAAAGTGGTTTGCTTCAGATACACCCCAAGCTGTGGTCAAATTAGTGAGGTAGCCTTCTTTAAAGCAAATTCCATGCAGTTACAGCTCTCAATGGGTTTCTTCCGAGATGTTAACTGGCTGTGATTCCCTTTTGTTCCACCTGTTACCAGGCAAAAACAGCTGTGAAAACAGTGCCGGTTAATACAGGGCCTGTGAAAAGTGTACCAGCTACTCTAGCATCCCTCAAGAGGAATGCAGTGAGGCAGACAGCAGTGGCACCAACCCAGGCCAAACCTGCACCTACAACGGTTCCTACAATGGTTTCTGGGGCTGCAAAGCCCGATGACACATCAGAGAGCAGCGACTCATCAGACAGTGAAGATGAGGAACCTCCATCAGTAACCCAGGTGCGTCTGTCTGAACTTTTGTCTCTCTTTGCATGCCCCTCCAGGGCCAGGAATTGCAGTGAAAAGGAATTGTAAATGCGTGTAGTGTGTAGCAAGGTCGTACTGGGGTGGGAGGCAAGAGGCAGGGGATGTTTAAAGGCACCTCGCTGTCTTTGCTCCGAGTTCTATTCAAGCCATTGTTCCCTTCTTAAAAATAATTACAAAAAAAAAAACAAACCCATCAGTACTTTTAAATAAAAAAGCTACAGCAATTCTTCTGCCACCTGAAGAGGCAAATTGTCATGGTTGAATTTGCTTCCCAGCTGTAAATTGCAATAAATAGTGTCTAATTTGCCAAACTGAAGCGCAGCTCAGCTTCCCCACTGTGAAGAGTGCAGTGTGCCGCAATGCACCTCACTGGAGGGGACTGGTTGTATCACAGGCTGATGGAGAATTCCTGCTCTTGCTTTTCCATCTTGGGAGACCATACCCACGCAGCTAGATGAAAGGATGCCTTGTGTCCTGCCAGTTGCTAATCTTCCTTTAACATTCACCTATCCCAGGAGGCCCTGAAATCTATTCCCTTGATTACAGTGTGAGCAAAATGAATTATGCTACTGTGATATTTGCCTTCTTTCACTGTTCTTGTCTTGTCCAGACAAAGCCACCTCCAAAATCCTCCCAAGCCGTCCCGTCCCCAGGGAAACCTACACCAGCAGCATCACTCTCCAGCAAAGCAGCTCCAGCAAAAACACTTCCCCTCTCCCAAGGGAAGCCAGCACCAAAGCCAACAGTGCCCAGGCAGGCCAAAACCACACCGGGAAGTACTGCTGCTCCCACAAAGCCTGCTGAAAGTGCAAAGCCAGTGGAGAGCTCTGACTCCTCAGACAGCGAAGAGGAGGATCATCCTGTGCCTGTCAGCCAGAAGGTAGGTAATATTGTGTTCAACTCAGTGCTAAGGGATGGGATATGCAAAAAAATTGTTTATCCCTTAAAATGCTACTGATCTCCTTGAAACACCAGCAGTATGTTGTATCTGTCCCTTGGAGAGGAGGATCTTTCTTTGTACTTGGAAACTGGGGGGGGTAACCTTTTTGATCCCAACTGTTTAACTCGTGCTTTGCCCCTCAAAATGCCCATCTGTAACTCTTGTGTGTGGGGTCATAGACAGCTTGGTCTTGGCTCTTCTGTGGGGATTTATTTAGGACCTCTCTTGAGAGAAGGACCATGAACTTAGTCTGGACTCAGGTGGCTGAACTTACAAAGAAGCAAATCCCTTTCTGAGAGCACCCTCAGGCATGTTGTACAGAGACGTTCTGCATTGACTCTGAGCTGCAAGGCCCTGCAGAAACTGCCCTGAGAGCAGCATTTTGGAGATGGCAGCTATTATCTGCAAGGGAGGAAGGGAAGCCGGGGGCAGAGGCTCACGTGTCCTAGCAAGGAGGCTCTTTGTCACCACATCCTTTCACTATTGACAGGCAGGAGTCAGAGAGGCTCTGCATTTTTGTCTTCATAGCCTTGGTCTGCTAAGGTGGGTGGAGGGGGATGGAACTCTAACAGTTGGCTCTGTGCTGCTCTCTTCCTGCGTGATTTTATGTGAAGCTTCAGTTCTGGGTGGCAGGAGCAGCTATTCTGATAGCTGTGTCATGGGGTCCTGCTGCAAGACTATCAAGACTCATCCACGTTAGAGTTCTAGGTGAAGGATGTGCTGGGGTAGGTTTGTTTCTCCCAAGTGTTGATTGGAAGCTGGAAGCAGCAGGTAGCTGTCTTGCCAATGGTTATTTAACCACTTCAGCATCTTCCCTCTTGAAGACTGGTGATTACCTCTCAACAGCCACAGTCAGCAAGGAAGAGCTTGTCATCGAGGAAGCTCTATTTTTGCCAAACAGGCTGTTTCTTCACATATAAGTAGCCTACAGGCAGAGACCACGAGTGAAGCCTGAAGATAAACCGTTAGGCTTAGCTGTGTCCACAGTCCTGTCCTCCTAGTCAAACTCTTCTTAGCTCATCCTCACCATCTGCTACTTGGGCATATGCTAACCACTGACTTACTGTATCCTGCAACTTCCTCTGGCTTCTGTGCAAAATCCAAACAGATACAGAGCGTTGGAAGCTGCTTCATCTTTCCCGGTGGGGGTGGATTAGCACAATTAAAATGAACATCATGCTTAAATTGAACTGCTTAATTGGTATGTTTACCCCTGAAGATTCAGGAATATTTAGTCAAAGAAGTTGACAAGGTGTTTGCTTATTTGGGGATGGGGAAGGATGGTGATGGGGCACAGTCTATATTGATCTTAAAGATGCTGTGAGCTCCTTTTCTTTTGGAACTGCTAATTCTGCTCTGCTTCCTCTTTCCTGGATGTTTTGGATCAAAGATGGTACTCAAGTCCTCCATGGATAGGCTTCAGCTTCTGCTTACCAGGACTGGGCATGAGATGCACATGTGTGTCTGGAACCTGTCTTTCTTTAGCATCCCAGGAAAACCTGTGCAGGCTGCACTGGTGGAAGCTGTGCCTGCAAGTCTTTGTCTTGGACCACAGGCCAAATCTCCCACCAGATGGAGAGGCTCCCTTCCTGAGCCCTGTCCTTGCTCCTGTGCAGATGACAGTTAAACCTCTGCTGTGTCGTGACATGGCTGAGATACTTGGTCCTGGTGCTGATACCCTGGTGGTGCACAGGCAGCAGTGGAGTGTGATTGTTACAGCATGCGCAGCGCACGTGGCTCAGTGTTGTTTCCCCTCTTGTCATGCAGCACTGCATGATGCAAATGGACCCAGTGGAGTGGCAGATGGGTTGTGCGGGCGCTGAGTCACTGCACTGAGCCACAGGCAGCTCAGGGGGCTGGAGAGGGAGCAGGAAAAATGATTTCCTCATGACTTTCCTTCTCCCTGAGTTACTTCAGTACCTGTGGCGCTTAAGTTGTCTGCCTGTGTTATCTGCTCCCTGGGCTCAAACAGGAGATTTAGGTGGGGTATAAGGAAGAAGCTCTTCCCTGTGAGGGTGCTGAGGCGCTGGCACAGGGTGCCCAGAGAAGCTGTGGCTGCCCCATCTCTGGCAGTGTTCAAGGCCAGGTTGGACACAGGGGCTTGGAGCAAGCTGCTCTAGTGGAAGGTGTCCCTGCCTGTTGCAGGGGTTGGAACTGGATGAGCTTTAAGGTCCCCTCCAACACAAATTCTATGAACTCAGCCATGCTGCTGGCTGTAATGGATGGGAACCTATGTGGGAGCTGATTCCTGTTCATGACTGAGAGACAAAACAGAGTATGTTTTTGTCAGTGTGTTCAGTAGAGTATATATGTTTATGGAAAGAGGCAGGAAAACATAAGGGTGCAGTCGTCTTTTGACCTTCGCACTTAACAACAGGGAGATCATGAGAAACTGCACAGCCCCATGAGTAAATGAGCTGGCATAAAGCTGACTGTTTTTCCTAAGGGTATAAAAGCAGGATCCTCTTGTAGCTGAATCTGCCTCACCTATGGGTGGATGCACCGCATGGGAATTTTCCCAGTTACCTGAGACTCCTGGCATCAGCTGCAGCAGGGCTTCCCAGCTTGAAGTGTGGGCCTGGGTGATGATTTGATGGTAACTGGTGATGTATTTCTTCTTAATCTCTGTTCTTTCTATGCAGTAATGATTTGATGCATTGCTAGTTTTCCTCTGTGCTTTACTTACATCTCTCTGATTTGCTTTATTGTCCTTATTCGCTACATATAGAGAGCTAGATACTTGATTCACTTTAGTGTGCTTGTCTGCTTTAGTGTGCTTGTCTATTAAACTGCGCATGTTACACGGTGAGTGTGTTGTGGTTTTGTTGATGCCTGTCAGCAGAACACTGGCCTGATCCCACCTGAAGCCATGCTATAGGATGTGACAGCTGTAAGCCATCTGGCAGTGACCAAGATGAGGTGGATGGAGGGATCTTGGCCTCCCCCCAGGAAGATCTGAGGAGTCCCAAGGCTGCGTAAAGCTCATGGTGGTTTCTCTGTGGATGCTGTTGTGTTCTTTCTGTGTCAGGATGCCTCTGTACAGCAGCTCTTTCCCAATCTCTTGCTAAGCTAGGAAATGAAGCAGCCCTTGTGCTTTGCATCCAGGTAGAGGGAGAAGTCAATCCCATTGCTATGAGGGTCTTAGAAGTGAGTGAGTGGGCTCTGATCTCTATACACTTCTCCCTTGCACAGCAGTGCTTGGGACGAGAGGGAGGGAAGCTTGAGCGTGTGAATTTTTGTGTCTGCTTCAAGTAGTTCTCTTTTCACCACTGCAAATCTGGCCTCTCTCCTGGAGCTAGTGACTCACTGGTACCAAAACAAAACAGACAAGTGAGGTTTGCAGTCCCCCCCCTCCAAAGTGCTAGTGGAGGTTTCTGTTTCTCTAAGCAGAGTCAAAATGTGCTTGGCTTGTTCGGAGAGCTGTTCTGTAATGGGATAAACATGCAGATGCTGTTGTCTGTTTAGTGTTTGGCTTGGAGATGATAAACACTGCCCCAGTGGCAGGCCTTGGTAGGGCTGTGCCAGGAAGCACAGGAAGATCTGTCCTCCGGGGAAGCTGCTTGGCTGGTGCTCTCACATACTGGCCAGGAGCAGCCCTTGGCTGAGCTGGCACTGCTGAAGTGCTCCTGGACCTCTGCTGTGGGCTGAGTGGGTATGGCTGTGTTGGGAGAGGGGGTGGCACGGGCCATGCAGACAGGCAGGAGTCTCTCACCTTGCAGGAGTGTCGTGGCTGGAGATGGAGCACTGGAGCAAGCTGCCATCATGTGTGGGTTGGATGGGGTCTGCCTGCCCTGGCAAGCATGGTGTGCTCTTTGGCAGAGCAGCCCAGAGATGAGCCGTGAGTGGAGTAAACTGAGTGGGTGCAGAGCACTGCTTGAATATCAGTGGTGGTGAAGTTCCCAGATCCCTCTGCCACCACCAGCCCTCAGTGGTGTGCAGGAGGGGGCGTCTGCAGCCTTTGGCCCAAGCCAGAGGAGGAGCTGAGAACAGATCCTCTCACCTGGCAGTTGTGTATCTTCTGCTTTGATAGTCGTGGCTTCCCAGCACTGACACACTGCTTGCGGCACTGGCTTGTGGTCTGTTCTGGGACATCACAGTGTTGATGGGAGCTATAGAAAGGTACAGCCCAAGTGAGTTGCAGAGGTTTGTTGTCTGGAGATGTCTCAGTTTTTAGACCTGTTGACAGATTGGTTTCCAGGGTGGATACTGATCTGTCTCTGCCTGCCCTCTGTGTTCCCAAGTGCTTGTCAGCTGTGTCGATGCTGAGCTCTCCAGCAGCTCTAGAATGGAGCTTCTCTCATACTGCCTCTGAATCTTGCAAGTGTTTTAGCACAAGACTCCCCAGCTCCCACTAATTCTCCAAGCTGGGGGAAGGTCCTGCTTAAATGATATCGGGTTGCAGTGATTTTCCTGCCCCCAGGCTCCTGTTCAGTGTCTCAGCCTCAATAAGGAATTGGTGTTATGAACCCTGTGTGCTCGTGAGATAAAACACACATGGGCTTCCTGTTCAAAAGCATATTGCTAAAGGAGGAGGTATGTGTCTTCAGCAGCTCAGTCCAGGCACTGCCTGAAGCCCCTTCCAATCTTGACAGGCCAGGGATGGAGTTAGTAACAGCTGTGTTAAGAGTAAAACAAAAACCCAGCTTGAGCTGAAACTGCATGTAAACTCCTGGATAATACCTGCACTAATTCCCCATTTCTGGGCCCATGTCTCTTTTTTGTTAAGAGGTTAACAGAACAGCTTGGGCCTGTTCCCAACCTGAACCAGGCTCCTAAAGCAGTGGGAAGCACCTTGAAAAGCCAGACCTCGGAAAGTGAGAGCAGTGACACTTCTGACAGTGAAGAGGAGTCCCCTGCAGCACAGACACAGCCTCTGCAAGCTGGTGAGTCCCTGGTAGTGGCTGGGATGCCTCGCCTTCATCCTTGTGGGTTTCCTTTTGTCCCCTGCGTGTGGAATGGCCCAGCTTGGTGTGATAGCTCCTGCTCTGGTCAGCCATGGAGAACAACTCTTTCTGATAGTGACAATCTTTTATGCTTTCCTTGCAGTGAAAACGAATGCTGTGCCACAGCCAACAAGTGTAAAGAAGCCACCAGCTCCAGCAGTAGCACCAGCCTCTTCTCCTGTGGAGATCAGCGATGATTCCAGCAGGGAGTCAGATTCAGAGGAGGAAACGGTGCCCCCTTCTCAGGTAAGGAGTTGCTGACCTATTGTGTGTGGGTCTCTGGACTCACGAGGTGGTAGTTGGTGAGTGATGAGAGGCGTAGAGAGGAACCTTCCCACTGGCTGGATCAGTTTTCCTTGGTGGCATCTCTGGGTCTCATTGACCTGGCTCTGGGCACGTGTCTCGGCTGCAGCACGCTCACAGTATGAGGGGGCAGTGGAGGGTGTGAATGTTTGGGCAGGAACATGAGTAGATACACAAGGCCAGGCCTCCTTTGGGACTCTGTCCCCTTTGCCCTGCGCTAGGGAGTTAGGTTGGAAAAGCAGCCAAATCTTTGCAGGCAGAGTCTTCTCATGAGCTGGGTAGCTCCAAGGCAACCTTCCCTCTGGTTCCTCCCAGTCCCTTGGTTGTGTGGTGTAGCTGGAGCTCTCTGGACTCCCCCTCTACAGGACTTCCAGGGAGGCTGGAAGGATCTTCCCTGTAGCAGTATCACAGCGACCCTGCTGCCTTTCAGCTGGAGGAGCCAGACTTCTGCTGATATGAGGTGACCTCATATCTGTGCCGAGGGCACTGCTGTATGTCGTGGAGCCAATCCCAGCTCTCTCACCTGAATCTCTTCATGTTGCATCTTTTTGTGTCTCCATGCCAGTCCTGCAGAGCAGTGGCTGAGGTGCCTCACTGTGCTGTCTTGGGTCTCTCTGCACTTCTGCTGCAGTTTGAGCCTGAGGAAGAAACCATGCAAAGAAGCACTGATTGAGGAACATGGCTACCGTTCCTATGTGGTGGTGGCTTGGCTGCTGCTCTGAGCCCAGGGCTTAGTGTCCAAGTGCTCTTCTTGTCCTGCACGTGTGTCCCCTGCCTGCCCAGCACCCTTGCTGAGAGATGCACTCCAGGAAACTTCCCTGTGTTTGCCTGATGCTGTGGCCAGGGGAAGGGCTGCTGGGCAGGCAGCCAGCCTGAGCAGTGCTTGATTAGAGCCTGTTTATAGGATGAAGCCTGTATAAAGTAATGCAGTTGCTGTAACTGGAGCTGTGTGCAGGACCGCTGTGAGCTCACGTCGCAGTGACGGCTCTCGGCACGGCAGAGCATTGCCTTCCCTGCTGAAGGCCAGATGTTGTGTGAGGGAAATGTCAGCCCACAAAGGCCCAGCTTGTGAGGGAGCTGGGGAGGAGGGAGGGCTGCTCACGTAGCCTTGCTTGTAGCACAAGCCAGGGGGCTGAGCACTCCTTCATCGCTCCCACTCCCTCCTCTGCTGGCATTTGTGTCTTGGACTTGATGTCAGTGTCTGATTTCCATGCCCCTGGCTCTTCTATTTTTAATCCCCCTTACATTTAGTGTGGAGGTTTCAAATGGGAGGCAACAAAATTGCTTCTTGTTAATGTGCTTTGTGAAATTTGTGACTTGCTTGTGGACCTGAAGGCAGATTTGCCTTGTGGTTGGTGTCTTTGTTGCCAATTAACTCTCAATGTGTGATTTTTAGAGTGTAGGGAAACATCCTGGAGTCCAAGTGGCCACTTTGCAAAGTAGGGTTTACAAAAGCAGTCTTGCTGGTGTTGCAGTGGGTAGGGATCACATCATGTTTTGCCTGCCTGCCCTCAGGATGAGTGTCTTTGGGGCACTGAGCTAATGCAACAGCCTTGGTGCTGTGCTGGAAATGATGGAAGGGCTCAGGAGTTAGTGGTGGATTGGTCTCTTCTGTCTCTTTTCCCCTGCAAGCTGTGCTCTGTCCTGATTTTTTCTCTCACCTATTTTAGATTCTGCCCCAGCAGAACATCAAAGCAACCAAGGTTTTGAGTGCAGTGGCTGCTAAGGCTAATGCCACACTGCCAGGAGAGAAGAAGATTGAGGCACCTTCTGCCCCTCCGGTTATCAGAGTGTCCAAGAGCTCATGTAGCGATTCCTCAGATGAAGAGATGGTGGCAGAAAAGGTAATGACAGAGGAGACTGAAGTGGGGAGCTTCTCTGAGGAGATGGGTCTGCTGGAGTCTGAGGCTGGTGCCTTGTCTGCAGCTGAGGGAGTGTGTTTGTGGAGTGTGGGGAAGAGAGGTGCCCTGGTTTAACCACTGTTACCACACCATAAGGTAAGGCAGATGAGCTGAGGATCACCCTGGTACCTTTTGTGTTCCTGCCTCCCAGCTGGCTGGTTGGTTTCTTCCTTCTTTTCTGATAGCAGTGCTCTGTAGAGTCAGGAGTTGTCTGCTTTGCTACAGCTGCCCGCTTCATTTGCGGGCCAGGGGAGATGGAGATTCTGTGCCCTGGATGAGAGATTCTTGGGCTGACCTTGACACAGACTGAAGCACTATTGCTGAAGAAGGGCTGAGGTGATCACAGCCCAGAGCAGATGGGCTTGTTCTTATAGTTGATGGGCATGAGGAGTTATTCCTCCTTCCAGATGCATTTCATCTTCCTCTCTCCAGGTCCCCATTGCTTCTAGCCTAAAGCAAACGGTTCCTGTGGGAAAAGCTCCCCCAGCCAGTGCTGCCACACCACAGGCTGCTCCGCTCCTGGGAAGCCCCACGGCCAAGTCGAGGAAGCCAGGCCTGAAGCCAGCACAGCACACCCATCTGAACCAGGCTGTGCCACCCACCCAGGCAGAGGAGCCCATGGACAGCAGTTCTTCGGACAGCAGTTCCTCAGACAGCAGCGAAGAGGAGTCACCCAAGCAACTGCCCAAGCCTGGTCAGTTCTCCCAAGAAGATGCTCTCAGTGCTGCTGGCCAGGCCAGGGTGGGGACAGTGTTTTGTTACTCTGTGGGAGGTGTGTCACCTTCACATAGTGCTTGGAGAGGAGTTCTTCCTCTCCAGCTTTGTAAGGCACTGCTTTCTTTGGAGGCAGAAGGCCTTTTGGTGGCAGTAACTGTGATGGGAGCGTGAGCTCAGCCCCAGGCAGCAGTGCTGGCTTTAATGGGATGAACTCTGCTCCTTCAGCAGGCTCGCTGCAGAAACCAGGAGGGACCCAGATAGCCCACAGCTCCTCCTCGGAGTCCAGTGAGGAGGAGGAGGAGGAGGCAGCACCATCACAGGTATGGTAGCTGAGCAGAATGGGATCCTTTCAGGTCTTGCAACTGGATCCTCAGAAGCACAGAGAGAGGATTGAATTCTGAGCCATAGCAAACAGGGTGCTGGGTGGGTTTGCCAGCACAGATATGGGGGCTCCCCAGTGCAGTGCTGTGAGCAGTGCCCTTTTGGTGAGTGGAGAGAGGCTTTTGAACCTGGAATGCTTCCCCAGGCTGCAGGATCTTGGATCTGGGCTCATGGTGCCTTTCCTGGGGGAAGAGCATGGGAGGAGGTGGTGCCTTGCAAGGGTTAATCCAGGAGAACTGGTGCACAGTGCCAAAAGCAGCAGGATTTCTTTCTCCACATGTATTTGTAACTTAACCTGTGTCCAAGCCATTAAATTCCCTTTGTAAGTAACGTGCGGGGCGTGCAGCGCATCTGCAGTGCATTATCTGTGCATGGGTGCATGCTAATGGCCAGGAGCCTCCCCCAAGCCTCATTTACTAGGCAAGAACAAAGAGGAGAACCTCTGGCCATCAGCTCTTGCTGCAGTCAGCTCAGGCAGCAGCTGAGTGCTGGCGCCTCTCGTGGCAGCCCTGGCCTCTGTGCAGTGTTGACTGAACAGTGCAGGATCTCTCTGCGGGTGGCCGAAGGTGGGCTCTTCACTTGGAGCAAGGGAGCATTAGCAGCAGGGAGAGGTCTTAATGTCTGGTGTGTAGGAGGCTGCCCTGCTGTGACTCTTCAGTATGTCTGTGCTGTTTCAGTCCCTCCTCACAGGCTATTCGGGCCCCTCCAGGACCCCAGCAACACCCCAGACACCAAAGACCATTCCCCTCCAGCCTGTGGGCAAAGCAGGGCAAGGAAAAGCAGCTGTGACTGCTGCCAACTCCCACACCAGGGCCCCTGTGAAAGCAGCCCCAGCCAGCAGCTCCAGCAGTGACAGCAGTGACTCTGACACAGATGTGGACCAGGTGGCTACGAACCACAGAGCAGGTGGGTCTCCTTTGGCAAGGGCTGGAATCTGCCTGGCTGAGGAGCAAGGTGGTGCTGGCACAGGAGGGTGACACTGGGACAGGGCCCTGTTCCCAGCATGTCTCCACTGCAGAGCCCAGCAGTGTGGAGTGCTGCTGCCGTCTGCTGGCTTCCCCTGGCCACAGCACAGCCCTCTCTGCCTTGAATGCCCCTTTCGCGGGGCTCTGTGCTGTGTGCCTTGGCCTCTCCCAGTTCTGCTTTAACTGCAATAATTAATGCAATTAATGGGAGTGAGTAGGGCTCTCCCTGAAAGTGATACACACTGCACTGGTGTGCTGTGGTAGTGATGGCTTCTATGGAAGGTCCAACAGTCAAAGCTGTTGCAGCTGTTGTCACCCATTTCCCTCACCAGATACTCAGTTTCAGGCTGAGATGCCTTTTCCTGACCCTGCTATAGCAGGATTTGCTTGTGAGGGGGAGGGCCAGATGCTCCTCTTCACATGCATGCTTCCATCCTCCAATGACCCTGTGGTCTATGGAAAGAATGCTCCCTGAGTTGTCGTCTCTATTGTCGATGTTTCTGCAGAGAACAGCCGTCCTCCTCCAGGGCAGGAAGCTACAGGAGCCTCCAAAACAGAGAAGGTGGCAAGAAAAATGGAGCCAGATCATGCCAGCCTCAAGCCTTCCCCAGTCAAGAAAACCCTGGCTTTAAAAGAGAATGATGTTGAGGCAAAACGTGCACAAACGACCGCAGCATCGTCTGCACCATTCTCCGTCCCACAGTCAGAATCAAGCTTGGGGACTGAAACCGGGATCACTGGGGCCAAAGTTCCTTCAGTGGAAGGGCTGGAAGGGAAGAAGAAGAAGAAAAAGGATAAAAAAGAAAAGAAGGAAAAGAAGAAGTCTTCCTCCACAGCAGACAAGGCTGTGAAAGCAGCGAAGAGCAAAGAGAATAAGAAACAGAAAATGTCTCACAAGCGGAAACATCCAGAAGAGGATGGGGCCGTGGGGCAGCCCAAGGAGAAGAAGCAGAAAGTGCAAGCTAATGAAGAAGTACCCAAAAAGAAAAAGAAGAAAGTAGCTGGTGAGCTGGGGAAGCTGCCAGGCAGCAAGGAAAAGAAAAAAGGAGCTAAAAGTAAGCATCTGGGGCTGCATTTGCTATAGGGTCTTGCATCTGTGAGGAGCACCCACTTTCCCCTTAGCTTCCTGCTTGCCTACTTCCCTTCTAGAATCATAGAATTGTTTAGGTCGGAAAAGACCTTTAAGATCATCAAGTCCAACTGTGAACCCACCGCTGCCAAGTCCACCACTAAACCATGTCCCCAAGTGCCACATCTACACATTATTTTTCCTAATATCCAGTCTAAACCTCCCCTGGCACAACTTGAGGCCATTTCCTCTTGTCCTATTGCTTGTTACCTGGGATAAGAGACCTACATACACCTCATTACAGCCTCATGTCAGGCGGTTGTAGGGAGCCATAAGGTCCCCCTGAACCTTGCCATCTCCAGACTGAACCCCCCAGGTCCCTCAGCCGTTCCCCATCACACTTGTGCTCCAGGCCCTGCACCAGCTCCATTGCCCTTCTCTGACCCTGCTCCAGCACCTCAATGTCTCTTGCAATGAGGGGCCCAGAAATAAACACAGGATTCGAGGTGCAGCTTCATCAGTGCCCAGCACAGGGGGATGATCACTGCCCCTGGCTCTGCTGGCCACACTATTTCTGATACAAGCCACGATGCTGCTGGCCTTCTTGGCCACAAGCTGGCTCATACTCCGCCTGCTGTCAGCCAGCACCCCTAGGTCAATTTACAGTGGGCAGCTTTCCAGCCACTCTTGGCCCACCTAAAGCCAATGCCAGGTTTTTAACACCTCACTTCAGTGGTTTTCTGCAGGCTCAGCACCACGTTGTATTGAAGACAGCAAGCTGGGCTCTCCTACCTCTGTTCTGGGAGAGGTGTTGCTGGTTGTAAGCCACGAGGGCTGTGTTCTGCCCACTGCACTCCGTGGTGCGTTGCTCTGTGTCTGCAATGCAGAACAGCTCTGCTAACCCAGTTCCCTGCCCTGGCTCTTCTCTGGCAAACACCACGCACTAACAGAGAGCTAAGGTGCAGTGTGGCTGGGGATGGCAGGCAGAAGGTCCCTGTCACGCTGTGAGCATGGCAGAAGCAGCCCAGTGTTCATGTGCGCAGGGCTTCTTGTTAGTCAGAGCTTCCTGAACGCAGCCCCTTGCTGCCAGCCTCTTTAAACCATCAGCCTTGAAATCCGTGCTGTCATCTGCTGTATCATCTACTGCTGTTCCCTGCAGGGTGACAGTGCCCCTTCCTGGCCCTGCCTGAGCACTGTGTGTGCTGCAACGTGGTGAGCAGCTCAGTCAGGAGATTTGACTCGGGGCCATTACTGCTGCTTTCACATCCCTAGAGAAAGAGGAGGATTGTTCCATCCTCCTGCTCGCTGCTCCCAATTAAGAGCATTTCCTGCCCCTCTTGCCTGCATGTGCTCTGTAATGCTGTTTGCTGCCCTAATGCAAAGGCAGTTTTCTTTGCACTGCAGAGTGCATTTGCAAACCAGAGCTGGTTCTTTGTTGGATCTTGTAGGCTTTAAAAGACAAAGAGATAGAATGGGTGGGCCAGATCTGCTGGGGTTTCTCTTCCACAGAGCTGCAGCCCTTCCTTTTGGAGTAGGCCCATTGTCCATCAGCTCTTGTGTGGGCTGTTGCCCCAGGTGAGCTGGGGCCTCTTGAAGCAGTTGTGCTGAGCTGAACCTTTTGTCCATCCGGTGTTAGCAGCTTCCCTTGCTCTGATTTCTGGTCCAGCTGCTCCAGCACTGAAGCAGTTGCTCAGAGGGGGTGGGCAGCAGGAGGTGGAAGGAATGGAATCTTGTGTAATTCTGTGCACACGTGTGCATGGATGGTGGGATCAAACCGCTCTGGGCCAGAGGTGCTGGAGAAGCAGCCCTGGGGGAGCTGCTGCATACCAGGGCTCTGCTGTCACCCAGTTACTGCTCTGTAAAGCTTGCTGAGGTTTGATCAAACCCTTAGTGGAGATGCTCCTGCCACTCTGTGCTCCATCTCAGAGGCTCACAATACCAGAGTCCCTCTCTTAATTGACTTTTCTCTCCCAGAAAAAAAGACTGGAAAAGGAAATAAGAAGGGCAAAAAGGTGACTTCTGAAGGGGATCCTGTAGCAGATGGCTCTGCCGAGGTTCACAAGAAGAAGAAAGGTACATGCAAGACCCTGACGTGTGGTACCACAGGGCGAGCTGTTCTGAACTGCACTTGTGATGCTCATCATAATAGCATGCCAGGCTGCAGAGGAACAGAGCCTTGCTGCCTTGCTGGCAGGGCAGAGGAGGCTGCAGTTAATTGTGGCTGTTCTTGAGTCACCGTGACCTTTAGCTGGCTGGGATTGGGGTGGCTCAAAGAAGGGCTTGTTCCTCTATTGCTCCCTCAGGAAAGATCCCTTTCCCTGGAAGGGTCAAACCCAGGGGCCATTCTGGTGGCAGAGTCTGCCCAAGGAAGCAGTGCTGCTCTTCAACTGTATTCATCTAGTTTTCGGCAGAAACTGGACCTCTGAGCTTGGCAGGCTGCTGCCTTCCATCCCAAGGGCTAGGAAAGGGTGCAGAGGGAAACTATAGGATGTTCTCTGTAATGGATATGTCCCTGTAGAGATGGTAGCCAAGAAGCCTCCATGGCTTGTGGCTTTGCTGTGTCCTTTATGTTTGTGGTGTGATGACACTGATTTATTTTATGCCCTTTTCAGAAGAAGAAAACAGCTGAGCCTGAAGGATTGCGAGAAGGTGCATGGCCTGTGGGGACTGTCAGTACCCCTGAATAGCAGTAGCCTTGGCCCAGGCTTGGGAAGACAGAGTGCCCTCTGAATGGTCACTGAGTCAGCCTGGCCTTAGGTCAGAGGGTCGGAGAGCGCAGTGATGTAAGGAAAGTCGCACAGCAGTGTGCTGGCTTCTCAGTATGTGTTTGACCTCAAGTCTTTAGCTGCTGAGAACTGGATTTCCAGCCTGGACCTTGCTGTCCTCTCTCAGCAGCAGAGATAAGCAGCCTCTGGCACTGTCTGCCTGCCCCTGCTGAGCACAGGGAGCTTGGAAAAGTAGTGTGGAATGGATGGTGATGTTGTAGGCACCTGGAAGTGGACCAGATGACTCTGCCTTGCTCTGCTCAGCTGTAAGACTGTTCTCCTCCTCCCCATCCCTAACTCTTAACTCCTTTCCCCAAAGGTACCGCATCCCTGTGATTAAGGATTTATGGGTGAAGATCACACAGCAGAGAGGAAAAGGAAGGTCATCAGGAGAATTCCAGCCTTTTTCTTTTTCTTAGTAATTTATAACTTCTTTTAACTGTGACTGTTAGAGCAGAGCAGTGCAACTTTCTGCCTCCTCCTGCCCTGCTGGGGCCCAGAGACTTGTTTGTTGCCCCTCACTCACGATGGCTCACCTGTTGCACAAGAACTGAACCCAAGGAGGCAGTTTGACCAGAGCAGAGCCAGCTTACATAAACTGCTTTCCTCCTCGTTGACCTCCACCACCTCTTCCTCATCACAGAGCTATATTTTTAAGAGAAACATTTCCCTTTTTCTGTTCTTTTCCTCTCCCTTCCTGTGATTTGTGCTGTCCTTTTGCTACTATGGAAGAGAGCTCTTGGATTTACTTTTTATTCCAACACTGGTGGTTATTGCGTCCCCGGAGTTGCACTGAGCAGCTGCATCCAGCAGTTGCTCTTGCCCAAGACGGAGTTGTTTTATGTGGGTGGTTGGGTTTTTTTTTATGGAATACAGAAATAAAGAAAAGCAGGAGGTTTTGCTTCAGCTGGTTCAGGGGGAGGGAGGGGAGCAGGGCTGGGCAGTGGTGGGCTCAGCCATCACCCAAGGATGCTGCAGGTACAGCAGAGTCCAGCATCTATCCAGGTTTGTAGGCATCGCTTCATCCCCTGGGAATGATGGACTGCTCTCTGCCTGCTCCTGAGGACAAGGGCTGTTGCTCCCTCAGCTTTGAACTGTGTATTCTAGCACTGGTTTGTATGGGGGTTTTCATTACTGGCTGGCACATCACCCAGCCTGCTGCTCCCCTGCATCTTGTGTGGGCTGTGCCTGGTTCCTCACTTCATTCCCAGCCATGGGGTTTAGGAGATGAGGAACAAAGGGCCTGGAGCCCCTTGGCTTCCTCCTTCCCAAGCTTTGCTTTGAGGGCAGAGCTCTGTCTGCTGCCCTCATACCTGTGCTGAGTCTCACCTAAAGGGACCAGGCTGGGGTGCAGGGGGGACCCCAGTGTGCACTGAGATGGACCAACTGCTGGGCCAGGAATGGGGCAAGGAATGTATATGGCCCTGGGTTGAGGCACAGATGTCAAAGTGGCTTTGACTTGATTTTTATTGAGATTAAAACAGTCCAGGACAGTGCAGACGTTGCAGGCGCAGCTCTGCTTGAGCTGCCCACAAGGCTTTCTTATTCAGGAAATTTATTGGAAATAATTAGCTTGTCAGGTCATTGATAAAGGAATTATCAGCTCTAGTCAGAAGAATTAGAAGCCCCTCTGGCTCCAGGGCCAGCTCCTCTGCCCACTGTTACCCGCTGCTGAGGCTGTGCTCCAGCCTGGGGGCACAAGCTGAATATGAACATGAATCAAAGCCAAGCACTCCACAATAAAATCCCTCTATTCTTGCACTCAGCCAGGGCTTCAACCTACAGGGGTCAGTTAAGAAGCTGATGGAGGTTGTTTTGCTGCTTTTAATGTTCATTCAGTGTAAGAAAGCATTAGTGACTCGTTCAGCAGGGAGAGCTCTGTGCCTGTTGGGATGCCCATGAGCAAAAGGTAACAGGATTTATGGGTCTGACACTTGAAATCATTCTCCAGCCCCCTGTACCCACCTTGGGGGGACAGTGTGGCTCTGGCACTGATGGCAGCTTGGCCCTGCATCAGGGGAAGGGGCACCCACTGTTAATTGCCTTGGAAAGCGGTGTAAGAGCAGAAATGAAACAGCAAAGAGACTAAAGGTGAGCTGGATGCTGAAGTCTGGGCCAGCAACCGTGGCATCCTCTTCTAGTTAACTGGGGGGGAAAGAGGGCAGTGAGTCAGTGAGATGGCTCCAGGACCCCCCAAAGCTCAGGCTGCTTTTGTTGTGTCTCCATCACCACCTCCACCTCCCCAGCACCACTTTGGTGCTCTTGAGGGTGGACGTGTACCTCCCATAGCCCCCTGCATCCTCTGCTGCAGCCCCCAGGGCTTTCCCCATCCCAGGACTCACCTTTCTCTGCACCCAGCTTGAGTGTGTCCACCCCGGAGGACATCATGTCCTCCAGCTCCGGGTTGGTGCGGGGGGCAGCGGTGGCAGCAACTGCAGAGAGAGGGCAGGATGTGGGTGCTGGACCCTCCGAGGGCAGTGGGGCAGAGCCTGCACCCACACCATGAGCTGTAAGTCTGGGGGCAATGGGGGGCTGATGGAAGACCTTGACCTCACACCTCAAGCTGCAGATACCCAAGGTGAGGGCTGGATTTAGGGACCCCTCCAGCCTTAAGGTGCTGGCACCAGCGAGGGATGCTCCCTGCAGCTTGAGCACTCTCTGCCCTCTGTCAGCTCTCCCTATCCACAACTAAAACAAGGAGCAGCATCCACGCAGGCTGCTCCTTGCTCTCTTTCCCTTCCCTGCCCACCTACCCTCGCAGTCCAGCTCTTCCCGGGTAGCAGTGCCCTCAATCCTGGTGCCGTTTTTGTAGGAGCACCAGCAGTAGCCGGTGGAGGCATTGCACTGCTTGGGCTTGAAGTCACCGTTCTCATCGCACTGCGGCTGGAACCGGCCCGGATGCACACCCCCAGGACTGGCCTCCGCCTGGCACTTAGTTAGCACTAAGGGCAACAAGAGCAAAGGGGAGATGCTGGAAGCGCCCCCCCCCCAGCCCTTCTGCTGCCTGGGGTCTGCAGGAGCTTCTCATCCAGAGCAGTTAAATCCAATTTGAAAGGTGAAGAAGCCCCACCACGGTGACCTAAAGCTCTAGGGCCAGCCCAGGACTGAGGGTGTGGGGAGGTGCTGCAGTTTCCCTGACATACACTCATCCCAAAAGCCCTACAAGCAGCAGCCCTGTGGTATCCCAAGCATCGCCGACCAGAGGCACCCCATGGAATGAAGAGGTCCATGACTGACTGGCCAAGGGATGAGGGTTTGGTTGCCTTTGGGAAGCACCATGGTGGCACCTACAGGGGGTGGTTGTTCCCAAAGGACCCATCCCAACCCTTCCCAGCTCAGCAGCCCCCATCCCTGGTACCTTTCTTTGCTGGGATCTCCTTATGCTCCTCCTCTGGCTTGGGGTTCTTGGCCATTTCAAACAGCAGCCACTTGTGCATCCAGGACTCGAAGGACTGCAATAAGGGGAGCAGCACATTAACGATCACAGGGTGAGAGCTGTGCACCAAGCTGCAGCTTGGACCAAGGAAGACCATGAGCATCACCACCATCCTTGGAGTGAGAGTAGCCCTGGCCTGGCTCAAGTGGGACTGGTGGGGACACTGCAGTCCCTGCGCAAAGCAGGGCACTCCTCAAAGGGGATGAGTAGAGCAGCAGCAAGCACTGACCTGCCAGTCCTCAAAAGTCATGGTGCTCTTCAGGTGCTTCAGGTTGTCCATCAGGCTGTCCTTCAGCTCCGGGAACATCTTCCTGGGGTCTGCTTGCTGCAGAGGGACCACCGCAGTGAGACAGGGCAAAGAGAAACGAGGTGTGATGCCTGCAGCTCTGCTTGTATCAGCCACACTGGCACTGCAGGAGGCCAGGAGCTCCCACCAGCTCTGAGCATCCCAACAGATCCCCAGCCACAGTGAGCTGGAAGCAGAGGGTCCCATCGCCTCATGCAGCGGAGAGGAAAGCTATGGGGTCAGTAGGGGCACAGGGGACCTTACCAGCAGCAGGTGCTTGACTTGGTCCTCGGTTCTGTTGCTGGCCGGGGCCACGGCCTCAAGGGAAAAGACAAAGGGGAAGGGTGAGCATAAGGGCTGGCATTGAGCCCCAAGGGCAGCGGGCAGCAGCCACGCAGCGCTCAGCATCTCTTACCGTGTTGGCCACAGAGGAGGCCAGGGGCCAGACCCTCATGACCATGGGGCTGTTCATCATGGCCGTCTTCATCTGGTTCACCGGCTTGGCACCTGCCGAGGGAGGAGCAGTGTGAGGGGCGCCGGGACTGGTGGTCCCCTCTCCCAGCCACCCTCCATCACCAGCACAGCGGTGCCGTGGGGTTACGGACTGGCCGGCAGCTTCCTCTGCAGCGCCTCCAGCTGCAGGGTCTGCGAGGTCTTGGTCAGTTTGCTGATCTGCCCGCTCTGCTGGTACACGAAGTAGATGGTGACAGCCTGGCCGGCGATCAGCAGGGCCACCAGGATGGAGAGCGTGGAGAGGGCGGCACTCCTGCCCAGCACAGACCTGCAGCACAGGGAGTCGTAGACGGGACCTTAAAGATGATCCAGTTCCAACCCCTGCCATGGCAGGGGGAGCACCAGCCGCCAGCAGCAGATGTCCTCACACCTCATCATCACCATCACCATCGCCTCCCAGGGGCTTTGCCACCAGACAAGCACAAACTGCCCCCGTCGCGATGTGCAGAAGTGAAATCTCAGCGTGAAGGTCCCTCCTCCACACTGGGGAACCGAAAACCACCGCGGGGTGAGAGGGAGGAGGCACCGGAGTGCCAAGGGGGATGTGGGGGCACGGCATCGCTCTGGGCATCGCCTTTTGCAACGATGGAGCCCCCTGAAGCCTTTCTGATCCCAGGGGGTGGAGTACAGAGTGCACCTCAGTGTTAATGCTCGGTGCAAACAGCGAAGGTGTCACTGCTGCCATCGTGCCCCACGCCAAGGGAAGGCAAAGCCAACGCTATGCAGCAGCTTGCCATGCTGCCAGACCTGCCCCGGGGGGAACGGGGCGCTGATGGGGTGCAGCAGGGCCGCAGGGAGCCGCCGGTACCCGGTGAGGTGCGGGTACCCATGGGTGCTGCCCGGCTGCCGCAGGCAATGGCCGGAGCGGGACTCGCCGCCCCGATGTCTGCCTGGCTACTGATGATGTCAGAGCTTCCGGGCTCCTGATTGGTTGGAAGTTTTGGAGTGCCCCAGGGTGTGGGAGATGGGGCTGGCTGGGACATGGGGGTGGCCCCACAGAGTTGGTTAGGGTCCGGGTCTGCACTGTGTCCCTGCCTGCCCCATAGCCGTGCTGTTCCCCTGCCACCCCATAGCAATGTCATGTCCCCATCGCCCCAGAGATACAGTGACCCCCTCGACCCCATAGCCACACCATGCCCCTGCCCTCCCCACAGCCATGCTCCAGCTCCTTCCACCCCATAGCCACGCCACGGCCCCCTTGCTTCCACAGTGCTCCATAGCCACAGCATGACCCCAACTTTCTGCCCCACAGTCACTCTGTGCCCTCCTGGTCCAACCGTCGGGTCCACTGCATGGTCCACCCCACAGCCACGCAACACCCCCTCTGCCCCACATCCCCATTGCTCTGCCCTCCCCATGACCCCCATCTCCCCGTGCCCCCAGCACAGCACCTTTGGGTGCCCCCGACATTGAGCATGCTGCTGCCGCGGTTGGAGATGAGGTCCCGCTGCTCGTCGGCCATGGCTGCTCCGCGCACCCCGATGGGCAGTGAGCACCCCGAGCGCTGCCGCGGGAAATACCCCGGCCCTCACCCTGCCCCGGCACCCCTGGGGGGGCAGAAGAAATCCCCATTGGCTGCCGGGACGTGCATCACTTGTTGCCAGGCAGACCTCAGCTCGGCAGGTCCCCGGTCCACAAATGATGCTGGATGCAGCTGTGAGCACCACAGTCATTCCGTGGGGCGTCGCTTCCCACCCCATTGCCGCTGGTGGGTCATGATGTCCCGCATGGTGACAACCAGTGCCATGGGCCTGGGGGGCTCTGGGACAGCTGGGTGTGGGCAGGAGGTGGGATACGGGGTACAGGAGGTGGGATGGGGAGGTGGAAGGCAATGCGTGAGGAAGGAAGTGGAATGCTGATTGCGATACCAGAGGCTGAGCAGGACCCTCCATGGGGTCACTTTGTACCTTCTTGGGGCGGGGGGGGGGGGGGGGGGTTGGTCAGCACCTCTCAGGCTGCAGGGGTGATGATTAAAGGACCACCGAGTGTTTCCAAACCCCTCCTGCAGCAACCCCCTTGCCCTATCTGCAATGGCTTCAGGGGTTGAACCCCCAAACCCAAGGGAGGAGAAACAGCCCCTCAAGGTGAGTGACCCCAAAGCATCAGTGGGAGTGGGGCAGTGTGGGCTCATAGCCCACCCCACAGCCCCATTAGTGCTATATGTGCAAGAGCAGCCATTCCACCCCATAACGCTGATTGTAGGTGATTTTATACAGGACCTGGGACACCCTGGGGCTGACACGTCCCCAGTGCCAGCGCTGAGCCATAGGGCTTGGCCTTTCCGGGCACCCCATGCCCAGCACCAGGACCCAGCACAACCATGGCCAGGGCTCAACAGAAGTGAAACCGAGTGCGAAACCAAAAGCAATGACCCGGACGTCGCTGTTTACCTGCAAACCTCCACACGGCCCCAGGGCTGGAAAGTGGCTGAGGACAGGGTGAGGACGTGGGTGGGTTTCTTCAGCGGCTCCATCCCTTCTCCCGATCAGTCCTGGATCCATCCATTGGGATGGCACGGCCAGGCCGGCAGTGTGCTGGGAGAGTGGGGTTAAGGAGTAACCTAAAAGCATCCTGCTCTAGTGCAAGGTGTCCCTGCCCATGGCAGGGGTAGGAACTGGATGAGCTTTAAGGTTCCTTCCAACACAAACCAGTCTGGGATTGTATGAAAAGCATTTCCAAGGAGTGAACAGGGTACCCCAGCAGATGCCCTGGAGGAGAAGCAGGCACTGGTGGGTGATGCTCCAGCTTCCCAGGAGGGAAATCACAGCCTCCCCACAGGGAAAGGACTTTGGGGTTCGGTCCCATCCCCATGCAACCCAGCAGGAAAGCACTGGGGTTCCCAGGGGTGCACAGGCCCCCTGCCCGAGGGTGAAGACAAACCACTTATCTGCTGCTTGTGAAGTGCTGCTGCATTCAGAAACCATCCCGAGGTGTTAAAGGGGAGGGGAACAAACTCACATCAACCCCTCCATCATCTTTTGGTTCTCCCCTCGCTCTCAGCCCATGCTGGTCACAGGGGCACTTGGGGGAACAGGGTTTTCTCTCACAGCCTCAGCCCAGCTCCCCATAAGACCCCCATGCCGGGCCCACACTCCAGGCTCATTCTGTGACCTACCTCAGCCCTAAGGGGAACCAAGGAATGCCTGAACAGGAACCTGGGGAGCGAAACCCCGCAGTGATTTCACGGAGCGGGGCCTGACTCTGAAACCACAAACATAGGCAATAAACTGGCTAAGCGCCCCGAGCCCAGCACCAAATCAGCCCATGCTCTGCACACAGACATCTCTATTGACTTCTTCAGTACTTCCCCTCAACCTTTCTGCACCGGGCCATGGCATCTAGAGTGGTTTCTGAGTCAGTAAATGGATTTTCCTGGGAAAGCACAGATGTTTTCACAGAGCAGCTTCCAGGCTGCTTTATCCCATTCCATAGCCTGCTGCTGGCACCCGCACCAGCACAGACTCCTCACCACTCATCACCTCCGAGACTTCATCTCTGTGCACATCCTGTGCTGCCCATGTAAAACCTGACAAGCACCATGAGAGGAGGCTGGGAACCGGCTGATTTTGGGGTGAGAAGCAGCCATCTGGAGCAATGAGCAGGCTCAGGGCTCAGCTCAGACCTGCTAATTCCCCAGGGACCTCGACCAGAGCCAAGCAGAGCAATTATCTCAGGCAGGGAAGCAGAAACAACCCCAGGGGCATTCACGTGAAGCTGTTTGTAACCAGCCAAGCCTCCATCCTGCAGCTCCCAGCCCATAGATCCTGCCTGGGCTGGTGGCTGGTGAGGATGTTCCCCACTGCCCATGAGGTGACAGCTCAGCAGCACAGGATCAGCCCCCTGGCCAAACCCAAGGGAATGAGTGAGCCACAGGGCTCACCAGAGAGCGCAGGTCAGTCTCGAGGGGTTTATGGGGCTGGGACAGGCTGCATCCCAAACAGCCCTGTGCCTGCGCTGGGATGAGCATCCCATGACGCAGCTCCTCACCAAATCACACATGACATCCAGCTGAGAAAGGGCAGGGACCAACACAAGCCATGAAACCCATCCACACGCTCAGCCAGGGGAGCCTTTCCCTGCAGACAGCCCCGGGACACGTCCTGCAGCCGGCTCTGCGCTGGGCTCTCCCGTTTCCCTTCCTCATTCACCAGCTCTCCCGGGGGGTTCACACGGACGCAGGGAGCTGTTTCAGATGCCAGGTTGGCTGAGAAATAAAAGCTGGTTTTGCCATTACTTGTGAAGTGAGCCCAGGGAAATCCCTGCCCACGGCATGGTGAGGGTACGCGGCATGGGTTGGGCTTACAGCAGCTCAGCCTGGACAGCAGAGCTCCTGCCTCCAAAGGGTGAAGGATAGTAAAGCAAATCCACCTTCCTGTACGGAGCAAAGTTCCTGCCCCCTGTCTGAGCCCCAAAAACTTCCCCAGGGGAGGATGCACCAAGCAAGGGGGGAGGTCTGGGTTCCTCCTGCCCCAGGTTAAACCCAAAGGTCCCATCTGGTTCTTCAACAACCTCCTCTCCAGAGCCAAGCAAGGCCAATGCCACCGCAAGGCTCACCACCACTGGGTGCCAGGCAGAGCACTGTGACCTGACCCTGTGACATGGTAGGAATGCACCAGCCAGGTGAAAAGCCACTTCTTGCCCCACTGAGCAGACACCTTCCTATTTCCATGCCTATCCTTGAAAACAGCTGGGATAAACCCTGGGGTGGCTGTGCTCTGCCTTGTGGGCAGCAGGAGATGGAGCCGAGCAGGAACCACCTCAAACGACACCCGGAGGCAAGCAGGGTCTGTTAAACTATTACCAACCTGCACTGGATGTTATATTCTTGTAGAGCTTTCCCTAAGGTACCCTGTGAAGCAGCCACGTGAATGTCACCAGGGACAAAGTAAAACACACCAGGACAGCAGCAGGTTTCACTGTAAGAGTATACATAACACTACTGCCTAGAGGTGTTAGCAGCAAGCAGCATCCTGATCCCCTGCCTTGTTCCATCCTCAGCTCTGTGTTGGCTGAGCCGCTGCTGGCTTCGTGTTTTCAGCCCCTTCTCCACACAGACTCAAGGAACACTTTAAGTACAGGAAAAGAGCAATTTGAATGGGAAATAGTGCACTTTTCGGACAGCGAGGGAAGTTTCCTCTCAAGTTTTCCATGGCCACATCTGAAACTACAAATAAACCACTGGCTGTGCCAAGGGAAATGCTGGCTTAGGAGCATCTGTCCAGGCAGAGATTTTTTTTTCCACAGAAAAGGGAAGTCATGCATTAAGCAAGTTTGCAGAAAACCCAGCAGCAGTGAGCTTGCTTGCTCACAAGCCCAGCTTTCTTCTCCACAGCAAGGACACCTCCAAGAAACCATGACTCACCTCGAAACCACGAGCATCCAAGTAGTTCCCCCTGTGAAGACCGAGGCACACCATGGCTTCAGATCAGCCAGCCTGGTTTCCTCTGCTGTGGAACTCATCCCCTTTCACTGTGCCAGAGCTGGGGCTCAGCAAGTGAGGACCAAGCTTGACAGGAGCAACACAGCCTGGATCCAACCCAGGCTGAGTAACTGCACCAGAACAGAGACTGCTTTGAGAGCAGAGCACCTCCACCACCACCATCAGCACAGCACCCTTCCTGTGAGGGAGGGAGGCTCAGGAGGATCAGGCAGGCAAAAGAATCCCCTCCAAAGCATTTGGAGATGCAAAGATGTGGGAAGGAGCCCACATGAAAGGGATGAGGTCCTCAAGCCTTGGGATCATAGAATAGCTTGAATTGGAAGGGACCTTAAAGCTCATCCAGCTCCAACCCCTGCCATGGGCAGGGACACCTTCCACTAGAGCAGCTTGCTCCAAGCCCCTGTGTCCAACCTGGCCTTGAACACTGCCAGGGATGGGGCAGCCACAGCTTCTCTGGGCACCCTGTGCCAGCACCTCAGCATCCTCACAGGGAAGACCTGAGGGGATACTTTGTCCAAGAGCCCAGGATATCAGAATACTGCCTCTCAGCTTCACTTCACAGGTCACACATCATGTATAAACTGTTCCTATTTGCCATGCAACTGCTAAGAATCCTTGTTTTTCAACCAATTCTGATAAACAACCATCACTTAAACCTGACCACAAGTATTCCTGCACAAACATTTCTCCAGCTCCACATGAGCTCACTCACTGCTAAGAGCCCACAACCACAACCAAGGAGGCAAAGCTGGACGAGCTGTAGCCGCCTTGACACAAACCTGACTACAGCACACTGCACTGTGAGGAGACTGGGATTCATGACCAAACAAGTGGGGCTCTGTGCAAGGGCTGACCTCACTATTGCACAGGAGGTACAAATGACTACTGCAAATGACAGTGTCATCTCTCCCTCGAGCTGTAAAGCCACAGCTATTTTACCCACAGGCACACAGAACGCACCAATCTCAATCTGCAGCTCTCAAGTACTGCATACTCGTGAATCTTGGTCTAAGATTTTGCCACATCTGAGGAAGTGACAGGAACAGTTTCAAAGCCTAGAGAGCTACAACATTGGCCAAGGTGGATCTGGGCACTTATTCCAGGT